AGTGCGGAGGAGCTTCTTAAGGCACAGGAAGCATGGGACTGCAAGGACAAGCAAGCTTTCTAGTACCTGTGTTGGGCCTTGGAAGGCCAACTAGAGCTCCTAAAGATGCTGATTGACCTGAAGGGCAAGCAAGGAGCAGCTGCACTAGCATGGAAGAGAGTTCAAGATTGACATTTGCAAAAGGGGTTGCTAAGCATACTCACATGGAGGAAGCGGTTCTATACCATGGAACGCAACTATGGCGATGGGGAGACCATGGTGCAGTATCTCCAGAGGGTGGATCAGTATATGAGAGCCTAAGAGGAGTTGAACTACACTGTAGATGAGAAGGAGATCATCTACACCGCACTCCAGGGGCTGGACCAAGAGGTGAACGAGGCCCTACTGCAGTACCTTCACCTTGAGCAACAGAAATGGACCAAAGCCTGGATATGGGAGGTGTTGGTCTCTGATGAGGCTCGCAAACGGGATGCTGGTAGAATAGTTGAAGGGGGAATGGGGGCAGGGGATAGGGCTGCCTTCAAGAAATACCAGCAGCGGCAAGGAGGTGGGGGGAAGAAGAAGGAGCTCGACAAGTGCCTCGTCCCTGGATGCAACCGGAAGCATTCTTGGAAGGAGTGTTGGAGCCGTCCTGATGGGTGGAAGCCTCAAGGGTACCCAGGAGAGGCTCCACCTGTCACTAGGCCTGAGTGGGTGGAGAGGAGGATGAAGAATGGAGCATGGAAGAAGAAGGGCAGCAAAGAGAAATCGGCAGCAACGGCGGCAAACGAGAATAAGAAGGGAAAAGAGGACTCATCGGATGATGGTTTCTCCTTCTTATCCTTGGAGAAGGAGACGGCGCTTGCTGGTCGTGTGTTGGCTGACCCCAAACAGCTCATTCTAGACTTTGGGGCAACCTGTGGAATGGTACCTCGGTGCGACCTCTTCACCACCTATCACTCCCTCCCACCTAACTCTAGAAATGTGATTGTGGGGAGCGGAGATACGCTGCAAGCAATCGGCATCGGCACCATCACCGTCATGGGGAAGGAGGGGGAGGTGCTGAATGTGAAGGGTGTGCTTCATGTTCCTGATTTGGCAGCCAACCTTCTCTCATGCTCTCAACTTGCGAGGCAAGAATACATATGCACCTTCACCATGGAAGGTGGCACGGTTCGCAAGGGTGGAGCTGTGGTGATGGAGGCCAAATTAGAGAAGGGCCTATACCTTGTTCCAGTTTGTGTGCCTCAGGTGGAGAGGGCACATGGAGTTGAAACCGAGGAAGCCGCTTGTAGCAGCCGTTGGAGGGATGTGGAGCAGGTGACTGCAGATTTGCTGCACCTACGCATGGGGCATGCAGGAAGGCAGCAACTTGTGGAGTGTGTGAAGAAGGGGGAGCTGAAGGGTGTGGAGATCAAGGAGGGTGGTGGGCAGCCAAGCAAGTGCCCTGATTGCACGACCGGGAAGCTGCCAAGGACCTCTTTCCCTACCTCCACCACTCGAGCCTCTGCACCTCTTGAGTTGGTGCACACGGATGTGTGTGGCCCCATGCAAACACCGGATAGGGAGAAGGGCAGCAAATACTTCATCACCTTCTTGGATGACTTCAGCCGCCTAAGTTGGGTTACCTTGGTGAAAACCAAGGATGAGGTGGCCAAGGTCTTCAAACGTTGGATACGCTATGCGGAGAGGGAAGCCGGGGCGAAGGTGAAGATACTAAGGTCTGATCGGGGTGGGGAGTACATGGGGAAGGATCTGGAGTCTTTCCTTGAAGACAAGGGCATCACCCACCAGCTTTCAGTTGCCTACACGCCGCAGCAAAATGGGGTAGCGGAGCGGCTTAATCGGACCCTCATTGACCTTGCCCGAGCCATGCTTGCTCATGCGCAGCTGGACCATACTTGGTGGGGGGCAGCAGTGCAATATGCCAACTGGGTTAAGAACAGAATGGGCAGCAAGGGGCTAGGGGGCAAGAGCCCTTACTTCATGTGGAGCAGGAAGGTGCCTAGTGTGTCCATGGCACGAGTGTGGGGGTGCATGGCGCAGTACAAAGTGCCCGACCAGCAACGGAGGAAACTGGATCCTAAGGCACAATGGGGCATTTTTCTTGGGGTGTCGGAGAGAAGCAAAGCTTGGATGTTGTGGAGTGTGGCGGATCAGCGGGTGGTGGAAAGCAGGGATGTGGTTTTCCACGAGGGGCTGAGCTATAAGGGGTGGAAAGAGCATGGTGCTAGTACAGTTGGGAGCTCCCTTCAGGATCCCTACACCTCTTCCATCTTTGAGGGGGCATGGGAGGACCCTCGAGAGGAGGTAGAGGAGCAGCAAGAGGAACAAAAGGCAGCTGCACCTCACCATGAGGAGTCACCAACTGCTGGTTCTACCCCTAACCCTAACGCACCAGCCCATGACCCGGAGCAGCCACAGGAGCAGCAGCAGCAACAAGAGAAGCCGCAGCAGCCACCACAGGAGCATACACTGCCCGTTCATGTGGGTAGGTGGCAGCAACTACTGCAGCAGCAGCTGTCCAAGTCACCACGGTCCCCCATGAAGAGAGTGACTTGGAAAGAGAAGCTGCAAAGTTCGGAGCAGGGGGAGGCTTCACCTCTGCGCCGCACCACACGCATCTCCCGGCCACCTAGAAGGTTCACACCAAGTGCACAGTATGCTTGCATGCATGATCATGAGGTGCATGACTTGGAGGAGTGCATGTTTGTGGATGCTGAGGGGGGTGAGCTTGGGCTTGATTTCTGTCTCATGGGTCAGGTGCATGAGCCCAAGTCGGTCAAGGAGGCCTTGTCCTCTCCTGAGTGGGTCGAGTCTATGCGTGCGGAGCTTGAGTCTCATAGGGTGAACAAGTCTTTTGAGCTGGTTGATCCAGCTTGTGTGCCACCTGGAATGGAGGTCTTGAGGTGTCAGTGGGTGTGGAAGTATAAGCACATGGCTGATGGGAGTATTGAGAGGCCTAAGTCCAGGTTGGTGACCATGGGGAACACTCAAAGACGAGGCGTTCACTATGACCAGGTATATACCCCAGTAGGTAAACCTACCACCCTGAGAGGCTCCTTTGGGATGGCAGCATCCTCGGGGTCTCACATCCATCACATGGATGTGACCACTGCCTATCTTCATGGGGTCTTGAAGGAGGAGCTGTACATGAGGCAGCCCCCTGGTTTTGATGATGGGTCCGGCAGAGTTTGGCGACTCAGGAAATCAATCTATGGGCTAAAGCAAGCTCCAAGGCAGTGGTACCTCAAGTTTGACGAGGCGCTGATGGATTTTGGGTTTGAGAGGTCGGAGTGTGACCCCGCCTTGTACCACTTGGTGAGGCATGAGGGCCGGCTGTCCCTCTACCTCTAGGTGGATGACATTCTGCTCATGTCTTCGAGTATTGTCTTGCTGGACGAGGTGAAGGGTCTCTTGTCCTCTCGTTTCCGCATGAAGGACTTGGGGGAGGCTAAGTACTATTTGGGGGTGCAGATTGAGCGTGATGAGAGTGGCATCTTGATTCATCAGGAGAGGTACATTCTCAACATGCTTGAGTCCTTTGGCCTTTGTGAGGCTAACCCCGTGCGTACCCCTCTCCCTACAGGGTTCGACGTGCATGCACATGCTGAGGAGCCCTTGCAGCGAGATGAGCTGGTCCAGCTCTATCAAAGTATTGTGGGGTCTCTCATGTATGCAAGCACGACCAAACAGCCCCAGATTGCTTATGCAGTGTCACAGCTGTCCAAGGTGGTGTCTTGTCCCAAGGCATTTCACCTGCAGGCTGCCAAGAGAGTGCTAAGGTACCTGAAAGGTTGTGTCAAGTCAGGTATATTCTACCCCGCACACAGCAAGCCTCAGGTTGAGTTGGTGGGCTTTAGTGATGCTGATTATGCTGGAGATTCAGCTGATCGCAAGAGTCACACCGGCTATGTCTATTGCCTTAATGGTGCAGCCATCTCTTGGCAGAGCAAGAGGCAGCCGGTGGTTGCATTGTCTACCACTGAGAGTGAGTACATCAGTCTGTGTCAGTGCATTCAGGAGGGTGTGTGGCTGAAGCGTTTGTTTGGGGAGTTTGGGCATGAGTTTACTGGTGGTGTGCCTGTGTTTTTGGACAACCAGTCTGCCATTGCCCTTGCACAGAATGCATGCTTGCATGGCCGCACCAAGCACATGCACGTTTGGTGGCATTTCATCAGGGAGATGGTGGCAAGCGGCGAGGTGATCCTCCGGTGGTGCCCAACCAACTGTCAAGCAGCAGACATACTCACCAAACCCCTTCCTTTTGAGCGGCATGGTGTGTGCATGTCCTTGATGGGGATGCAGCCCCATGTCAGCATGGTGCCTGAGGAGGATGTGGGAGGACTGGTGCTTCTCTGCCTTGACGACCTCATGCTGTGGATGGCGCCCCTCCCTGGGCAAGGGGGAGTGAAGTGAAGGATTTTGCCAAGTGGTGTTCAGCCACCTCCAGCACGAGCAAGGGGGAGTGTTGATCGTGTAGGTGGTTGTGGTATTTTGCTCTAGCTGGTTGTTGGCTAAGGGTTTGGGCAAAATGTGGTGGTTAGACTTGTTGCGGGCTGGAATTGATCTCGCACCCAACAAGCACCAACAAACCTTTGCTATTCACTACAACACCTTTGGTGTTGCTAGTTTAGCACTGTGGGTCCTTGGGGATTGTTGTAGGGCGAGGGCTGGGTTGGTAGGGTTTGAACAACTCGTCACTTTTCAGATCTGAACTCTTGCTAAAGCTACTTTCTTGAACTAATCCATGGCTGCCTAGTAATTCCGCCAGGATACACCGTCGCACTTAGATCGCGATAGCGATCGGCCTAGATCTTTCTTGAAAGCGTGCATTACCATTCTGGAAAGTAGAGATTAAGACCTTTCTAACGCGTACCTGCTCATAGTTTAAGGTTACGTGAGCTGCACGCAATGTTCCGTCGAAGTCGGCGGACATAATCTCTTGTACACTCTCCAGATTTGCTCGCTTTCCATCAAATTTGTCACGAAACAACAGAAGGACGTCCTCCAGCAGGTTTTTAAGGAAACTCTTCCCACTTCACCGTCTTCATCACGATCCCAAACATCTCATCCTCCGCAATCGCCTCCTCAAAACCCACCCTCTCCCTCCTCAGACCCTCCTCCAGTCTCCACTGCAAATGTTCCTCATTCCTCAGCCCCTACCGACGATACGCACCTGCTGTCACACTACAAAACCGATGCTACACCCTCTCAGCAGCATCCTCCTCCTCCTCCCCCCAATCATCACTCCACGCAACCAGGCCCGCACTACCCCGCACCCTCGTATACTTCCAACAACCCATCACCTCCTCCTAACCCGCCCTCACTACCTCCTAGGCAAGCACCAAACCCTCCAGCTTCCTCCACACACCAGCCACCCTCTCCTCCTCCAGCCCCATCTGCAGGCCCTTCTCCCACCACCTCTTCATTTCACTGCCCCATTTGCAATCGCCTCTGCGCCAACGCCGGCACCCTTTCTCGCCATGTCTCTGCGTGCTCGCGTCACTCCAGTGCACGTAAGCAGGCTGCTCGCCCTCCACCTCCTCGCCCCCCACCCTCTGCACCACGAGCATCGTCCCCACCCGTCATCCCTGAGTAGACTTGGGAGGCGGTACTCACCTGGGATTGGTCAGGTTTCTTCAGCCCCACTGTCTTGCCAGGGCCTTTGATTCAACGCATTCCTCCTCGCATCCGCCTCCTCATGCTCGACGTCCTCCTCATTCCTCTCCACCGCCTCGCCGCTTGCCCGGGTGACACAGCTGCCCACCTCATCATCCTTGCCTTTCTTTGCCTCATCATACTCACATTGTGCATCCACTGTGTCCGTCCAACACGAAGGGACTTTGCCTACGGCATGCGCACACCACCAGAGTGGTCACAATGTACACCGCTACTCACCCTACACTACGACATCACCTTCACACCACACCGAAACATCCATGCACACAACAACATTGTCGGAACGCCTAGCAAGAACACTTGGCAACATTGTTCCGCGACCCTAGTTTCAATGAACCAATAAACGCCAACCAGCGCCAGATCCCTTTGCACTCGGGATAGTAGCTACAGTAACTTATAGTTACAGAACGATGATATTGCCGATGGTACCGTTAACAAGATGCTATTCTATGCACAATAGTAATAAACACTGATTGTTGTGATTAAAAAAATGCATCTTAAAAGCAAATTAATTTATGGATACGAAATCATAGTACTACGGTTTATAGATCAGTGCAACAAGAGAATGGCCTCCCAGGGATGTCGCGGGCTGTAGAGAGCCAAATACACAAGACCGCTCAACAGCATGTTTTGCGGCTCCATTTCCCGGCTGTGCGCCTCAACACCCTCTGCCATGCACCAAGGTCATTCCTTGACTAAGCCAGTACGGGCAACTCTAACGTTTTTACACTCTGCCGCTATCGTCCACTCCACCCCTCCACGCCTTTCCGGTCCCATATGGGTGTCGCGTTGTGCCTGTGTTGGGCTCGACACAGTGAAAAACCGGAGGAAAAATGATCAACAAACACTTGAGCGAGTGTAGCCTTTTGGGATATAAACAGACAAGAGGGTGTACCTTCCACGTGCAACAGACGCTACTCTCCACCAATCCTGCATTGCCTAGGTGGCGCGGGCAGGTGGAGCGGGAAGGCAAGTAATAAGGCCAAAACAGAGACAGCATACAAGATCCAAGCTGATTATGCGTTTTAACCCTACGCCACCAAGTCATGTGCCTACTCTCCCCTCGAAGCCAAATTAAAAATACCGTGCCGCCCATCAAAGCCAAGTGAACTCCATAGACACCCCTCCCACATTAATGTCAATGAAATCCACGCGTGTGGGGTGTGACAGGCATATGACTACCACTGCCACTTCCCCCCTTGCAACACCACCCCCCCTCCTCCTCCCCAAGTCACATGACGCTTGCCTCAGCGCTGCTTTGACTCACCTCGGGAGTGACGCAGAAAACATAGGTAAGAAGTAAGAGTGGTAGCTAGGAGCTCATACACCCCCGCCCCATGGTTTAGGTGCCCGAGTGTTAGCAGCTGGAACGCGATTGAGCTTGCCTAGGGTTGAGACCAGCTGAGTGGTTTAGGGGAGGGGTGGAAGTACCTCGGGCCTAAGGGGCACGGATTTTCCATTCAGCTCAAGCCATTTTTTTAGTTTAGTCATGTCAGCATATGTCAGTGGAAAAATGCCTGCGGGCCCAGCACTGCATAGGCAAGACTGTCCCTGAGGGTCGTTATGCGGAGTGGTAGTAGGCGAGCTGAAGGGGAGGTAATGGACAGGTACAGTATAGGACACTGTGATATATATCAATTTGCCGCTTTTGCCAAGGAGGCCTATCTTTTATAGTATAATCTCCTTGCTCCCAAACCATGTTGTTCTTGCCATTATTCGCAAAAACAGCGTACTACATCAGATGGGTAGGAAGGGGAGTGGAGAGCGACAGGGGAGGGAGGGGGAGAGGATCCAAGGTTGGTGGAGGACGGGTGGCAGTAGAACTTCCATCCGTGTATCACTTGGTCTTGGTAATCCCGGGAAACTCCACGCCCTCCCATATGCTTTCTCATTCAACTTAGACAACAACTAATTAACTCTCATAGTGAGCCTCTTCCATGCAGCCAGCTGGGTTGTGGGGGGCGCGAAATCGGAGAGATCGCATAAAGACCTACTGCCCTCTGATGCCTCGCGCGCCCTGAAGGAGGCAGGGGGGAGGCTTGTGAGAGTGCTTGCGGGACTCTCAGCGCCCTGAGAAGTGATGGCGTCTGGAGAGTGGTGAAAGTGATGGCATGAAGTAAGAAGTTCACACAAAGTCTTCTGTTTAGGCGCAACTCAAGACTGCTGGGGGAGGGTGGAAGAAGTGATGGGAGGGAAGCAGGTGGTGGCGAGTGTGGGGAAATGTGAAACTAACCTCACATGGAGAATTTGGTTGTGAGAGATGCAAGGGGTGAGGGACGCGTGAGTACAGACGGGATAACTGTGTGGCCCACTTGAATAGTCCGTAAGTTGATGTCACCATGCTCACTTGAGCTAGTGTCGTAAGTTGATGTTATTAGCGACTACACTCCTGGGGTTGTTAGGTTCTTCCAGCACGCACCAATCCCGTAGAGCCACACAACCACCCACCACATTAGACACCCACCACAAGAGCAAAGCCGACCACCCACCACATGAGACAAAGCACTCAACCACTCAAGTACAAGCACATCACCCACCACATGAGACAGGGCACTCCATCTATGCACCTTGAGCTCGACAACATCTGGGGAAAAGAATTGGATAAAATGGAGCCTTGGGGATTGAACTTGGGAGCCACTAACCTTGCTGTTCTGTGCTGGGAATCCGCCCCCCCCCACGACCAGGACACGAACTGCCCCTCTTGAAGCCAACAGCTTCTATAGGATGGGGCAAGGGAGGGAGATCATATGAGTGTGGACACAGGAAGTTACAGAAAGAGAGATGATCCCATTATTTGTCAGACATACACGACCTAGCCTATGTAGGCTGTAGCGGGGTAGACACTAAGGGAAACTCAACTCTAAGGTTTCATATTTGTATCACACACTTTCCTAGTTTATTCATTCCTCTTTCTTCACATGGTATAGAGCGGGTTCCCTAGTGGGACCGTTTCTTCCTAAGGGCCCACCTTTAAATTTTTTTTTTTTTTCCAAACCTGCCGGAAGCGCACTTTGCGCTCTGACCTGCCCTACCCTTTCGCGGCCCCTTAGCGGCCTGCCCTGCTCCTGAGGCCCGTCACGGCCCCCCTTTGCGGCCCCTTTGCGGCCCTTTCGCGGCCCCTTAGCGGCCCCCCTTCGCGGTCCCATAGCGGCCCCTTCGAGGCCCCTTCGCGGCCCCTTAGCGGACCCTTCACGGCTCCTTCACGGCCCCTTCGCGGCCCCTTAGCAGCCCCTTCGCGGCCCCTTCGCGGCCCCGCCACGTTGCCCGTAGCGGCCCCGCCCCGTCGCCAGTCGCGGCCCCGCCCCGTTGCCACCCGGGTGTCGCCCCTGCCTCATCGCGACGCCTCAGCGGGACCCACGCGTCGCCCCCGCCTCAATGCGACGCCCATGCGGGACCCGCGAGGCGCGGCTCCTGCACGTCGCGACGCCCCAACGGGACCCGGGCATCGCCCTCGCTTGTCGCGACGCCCCTGCGGGACCCGCGCGGCGTCGCCCCTGCCCGCCGCGGCGCCCTGCCCTAACCCGCGCCCGACCCGCAGTAGCCGCCCTTGCAGCAGCAGCCCCTGCAGCAGCCACCCTTGGCCCCTAGAGCAGCCGCCCCTGGCCCTTGGAGTAGCCGCCCTTGGAGCAGCCGCCCTTGCAGCTGCCGCGGAGCCCTCGCCCTGCAGTGGTAGTGGCCTCGTCATTGCCACCGTCGTCCGCCTGCCCTTCTCGCCACTGGTGAGCACTGCCATGCCCGTACTACTGTTACTGCTGCTCCTGCTACTACTGCTCTTTCTACTGCTACTGCTGCTCCTGGCGTGGCCAGATGCAGCTCCAGCGCCGTCCGCGTGAGTCCCTCACGCCCCAACAGCTTCGTGAGTGGTACGCTAGTTGGGGTTGTAAGGGTGGCCGCGCTGCTACTAGTGCTAATGCTGCTCCTGGCGGTGGCCAGATTCAGCTCCAGCGACGTCTGCGTGAGTCCCTAACGCCCGAGCAGCTTCGTGAGTGGTACGCTAGTTGGGGTTGTCGGGGTGGCCGTAGTGGGAGTCGTCATGGAGTGAGTAGTTTGGGAGCTTCTTGTAGTCGCAAGGTGCAGCTGCAGCATCGCCTTCGCGCGGTCTTTTTGCCCCAGCAGCTTTGTGAGTGGTACGCTCAGCGTGGAGGGTCATGGGGTACTGCTCGCTGCTCGTACGTCATTCACACTGGTGCTCGGACTGGTCAGCCTTGTAGAATGTTTGGTCACACAGAGTCCCGCTACTTCGCCCGTCCGAGCGACGCTCCCCGACTGGGTGGAGCTGCTTAGGCAGAGGGAAGATATCTATGCTCTTGAGTATGATACTATCCTCACTGCCATGTATGCATTGCCTACTAGTGCTGAGGGTGCCTGTTGCCTGTGTGTGCCGCCTAACCCCGGTATCCGGTCTGCAACTCTAGGTACTGGTGAGGCTGCTGCTCTAGGTGCAGGTGCGTCTCCTGCTCCAGGTGGTCGTGAGGCTGCGGCTCTAGGTGCTCCTAAGTCTACTGCTCCAGGTGCTGGCGAGTCTACTCTCTCTGGTGCTGCGCCTGCTGCGGTCTTACACACCTTCACCCTTGACTCGGGTGCTTCCCTCTCCTTCTTTCAAGACCGCACCACACTCACGGTGCTTAGTCGGCCGGTTGCAGTCTCCCTGGCAGACCCCTCTGAGGGTCCTGTCCTTGCCCACTACTCCACTATCGTACCGTGCCTGCCGGCCCCTTCTGGCTCCCTATCCGGTCTTTACCTCCCCTCATCCTCTACGAACTTGGTGAGTGGTGCTGATCTCTAGGATAGGGGGGGTTGACCAGTTCACTCCTACGAGTCAGCGAATGACCCATTGCACGTGTGCTCAGATGGGCCGCCACTTGGCCACGTTCACCCGTCAGCCAGGGTCGAG